GGGGAGTCACAGAGAAGAAATGAACCAGTCAGGGTGCAGTATAGCACTGATGAAAACCTTTCCATCTCACTATCTTCCCTTCAGAACAAGATTTGGGCAATGGGTAGCGTTAACTCATCTTGAGATGGAGGAAAGTAAATATGTAAGAAAAAAGGACTATACAATCTTCCTCACTGGAGATTTTTATCCAGAACTTAAAGATTCTGTCACCCATCAGTCCTCTTCAGTTAAGGTATTGCTAAGATCAATTTTTCTTCTTAAATTGATATAGATGTCTGCCACTGCAAGCTTCATCTTCAACATTATCTGCCCCTTCCTAAAGGGAGTCAGTCATATGCAAACTGCTGATTTCTTCTGGGCATCGTCTCCCATAAATTTTGCAAAACGTAGAGAATTATCCCTTTCCACTCAAGCTTCACCATAAATTGAAAGTTTGCTCTTGCTACAATTTTATTAAAATTCATGTTGCAATGATATGGGCTCTTTTTATTTATTTACTTTATTGGGGGGAGGAGGCATACTCAGTTTATTTTGGATTTGATCTTTAGACCAAGGCAGTTTGCCCTAAGCAAGGACTTGGTGACCAAGGGCATTTTCTTTCCTGGCCCCTGGGCTCATGTTAAACTGCCATCTAACATTTCTTAGTGTCTAAAACTAGATCCTGTTCAGACATTTTATAGAAAATTAGTTTGAGGTGTTTTGGTGCAAAATTTTTGAAATCCATGCATATTTTCTTTCCTAACATGTATTTTCTGTGAACTTTTTAAAGACACCTCCTACAAAAGATAAACTAGGACAGGGTCAATAGCTGTCATTGACCCATCTTCAAGTTCAGTAATAAGCCTGTGATGAAAATGTGATGAATACATTTTTAAGCCAGCTATGTATCATTTACCCTAAATATAGAATATATAATTAATAGAATAGGATTTTTGAGATCAGAAAGGTGCAGAAATGAATGGTTGCTTCATTACTTACATGTGCAAGCTATGTACATGAGCTTCAGTTTCATTTTGTAAAATGGAGTTTGCTCTTGCTCTCAAAAGCATACTTTGAGTATTAAGATATATAATTCATGTAAAGTACTTAACAAGTACTACTTAGTTGCAATATTATATTATTTCATGTATTTGGGTTTTATTTTAAATGTGCTTTTAGTGAAGTAAAATTTACATTTACCCAAATTCACACATTTTAGTGTATAGTACTGTCAAGAAGTGAAATTACTCTGTTTGGCTCTTCTATCCATAGTCCCTATAAATCCATGGAAATAAGAGGTAGCATGCAATAAGTGGTAGAGCACTCTAAAGATGGGATTGATCAGTTTCATCATTCTTTGGCTATAAGAGAGCTATTTCAGAAACACGAAGAGAAATCCGACAACCATCTAAAACAGAAAGAGGAATGTGGGGGAGCTCTCTGCCTCAGGTGGCAATGACACCAGAGACTCAAAAAATGGCGGCATTGGGCCTATGAGGGTAAAGCAGAGGAGCAGCACTGAGGTCATGAGGCAGAATGGTGGGCAGGCTTCCTGGCAGAACAGAATGAAACAGAGATCAAGGTTCCGTGTCACGGAGAGGCCAAGGACCAGAGAGAGCTATGCCTGCCAGCATGATTGAGAAGAGGCACAGTGAGCAAAATAACTCAACATTTTGTAAGCATTTAGCTTCCATCATAAATCCCAGAATTGCATTATCTGTACAATGAACCCAAATGTCCTTGCACTTATCCTGTTGTGACATCAACCAGGTATCAGGCATGAAAGAGCCAAAATAAAACAAACAAACAAAATCGTATCACTGGGGCTGAGGGGGAGGGCAGATTGGAGACCCAAAGCCCATCAGTAGTCAGTTGGACACCCCCTGTCAGAAAGGCCACAAGGAAGAGGCAAACAACCCTGTTTCCCCGAAAATAAGACAGTGTTTTATATTAATTTTTGCTCCCAAAGATGTGCTAGGTCTTATTTTCAGGGGATATCTTATTTTTTCCATGAAGAAGAATATGGTACACATTTATTGTTTATTGTTTTATTAAAAGAGACCTCACACTTCCTGTCTGCTCTGGCTGCACTGCGGCCAGCAATGAGATACATGGTAGCGCACACCGCTACGGTCCAGAGTCCAGAGTTACGGTAGCTCCGGGGGGCCTTATTTTCAGGGAGGGTTATTTTCGGGGGGATGCCTTATATTTCAGCAAGAGGCAAAACTTTAAGTAGGTCTTATTTTCGGGGAATGTCTTACTTTCGGGGAAACATGGTATTCAGCGAGCAGTATAGCACTGTCGAAACATACAACCTACCTCTAGTTCTTTAATGCCCCCCACCCCATCCATTATCATGAGCCCAATTCTGTCTCACAAATCTGGCTAGACCAGAACATGTATACAGTATTAGTACAGAGAAGAGCTCGCAACACAGGGAATCCAGAACAGATAAACACCTCAGGACCAACAAGGGGAGCAGCAATACCAGGAGAGTAGGGGAAGGGGGCGGAGGGGGAACCGATCACATAATAATTGACATATGGCCCCCTTCCCAGGGGAACGGACAGTCAAAAAGTGGGTGAAATGAGAGAGCGGTCAGTGTAAACCATGTAGGGTGGGGAGAGAAGAATTTATAAATTATCAAGGGGAAATGGGGGAGGGCAGGTAAAGGAGGGAGGGAAAATATGAGGAACTGATGCCAGGGGCTCATGTTCAAAATGTTTTGAAAAAGATGATGACAACATATGTACTGATGTGTTTGGCACAATGGATATATGTATGTATTGTGGTGAGAGCTGTAAGATACCCAAATAAAATAAAAATTTAAAAGAGAGAGATAACTACCAGGGGAGCATAATCGAGATTCCTGTGTGAAGTGGTGTTAGCAACAAAGATGCCAGAAGCTACTACACAGAGAAGACCAAACAGCAGTTTCCCAGCACAAAGAATGAATAAAGCTGTTTGTCTTCCTGTAGGAGGCGGGCTTGCAGAGCAGGGTGACCTTTGAACATTTATCAGCACTGAGATGTCCTGGTGGCATAATGGATTGGGCTGCAAACCACAAGGTCAGCAGTTAGAAACCACAGCTTCCCCATCCTGGAAAGAGTTCTAGTCCTGGAAACCACAGGGGCAGTTTTACCCTGTCTTACAGGGTGGTCATTAAGAGGTGCTTTAGTCTGAGCAGGGCAGAGGCCAAGCAACTATACAGTTGAGAGGATGAGGGCCAGAGAGAGACATGCCTACTGGCTTGACTTTGGACAATAGGACTGCATCTTTATATTCCTTTGACCTGACTTGAGGTAACCTGCTAGCATACCTAATAAACCGATTATTGTGTGCACTGTTTATGAGTTCTGCCTGGCAGTTGTAATTAATTTTGGAACCCAGCAGAGAATGCCATGGAAGGGAAGGTTGTGATCAGAATAGGATAAAGAAGGACGGAGGGGAAAGCATGGCTGCCTTCTGCCTCATAGGAATCCTCCTGGGGCAGATATGAAGCTGGACACTCCTTCAAAGGAAGCAGATTCCTCTTCACTGTTTGTTCAGCAATGGCTAGTTCCACGTTTTGTAGTTAGAGGAAGCGAGAGGTGGCTTCCATGACATTTCCTCACGTGTTTTAATTAATCTGCATATATGTTTATGGTTGTGTTTATAATATGTAGAACATTTGAAGGCAAATGGACACCAATAATCGTTTTCTTCTGAGAAGAAGATAAAGGAGTTTCATTTAAACAAGGCTTTAGCTTCATTTCTAATGTTTCAGTCTTCACAAAAAGCCTACAGTCATATACTAATTTTCTAATTGATAGCATTATTATTCTCTATTTATTCTCCAAAAGCTCTCCAAACCCTGTGCCATAAAGTCAGTTGCAACCCATAACCACCCTAGGGGCCCGATAGGACCAGGCACACCACCTCTGTGGGTTTTTGAGACTGTAACTCTTTACAGTCTTGTCTTGAAGTTAGCAGCCAAAGTGAAGCTCACTATGCCAACAGGTCGTATTCTAATGAATACCTATGTCATATATATATGGTAGATACATAGAAAGACATCTTCTGTGTGTACAGATGTATATGTATGCCTCTATACGTTGTTGTGTGCTCTTAGTCGACTTCTACTCATCCAAACCCCAAATCCCACTGCCATTTAGTCAATCCCAACTCATAGCAACCCTGTAGATGAGATTAGACTGCCCTGTGGGTTTCTGAGACTGAATCCTTCAGAGAGTAGAAAGTTTCACCGGTCTCCTCAGGAGTGGCTGGTGTCTTCAAATTACTGACCTTGATGTTAGCATTCCAACACTTAACCTACTACACCACCAAGACTCCTACCTTACAAAGATTTCTACTCTACAAAACACTGCCAAATCAAACCACGTTCACTGCCATCGAGTCAACGCTGACTCTTAGTGAACCCTCTGTGGGTTTCTGAGACTCGTAACTGCTTACTAGAGTAGGAAACCCAGTCTCTCTCCCATGGATTTAAACTGTCAGCCACACAGATCGCAGCCCAACACATAAACATTCCGCCCCCAGGGTCTACTAGGATTTTATGTATATAATACACTCTCAGTACTTTTAAAAATAAAAGCCATATTTTAATAAATTCAATATATAATCTGTGGAGATAGTCATTTTTGAAAAAAATTTAAAAGTATCTTGTTTTAGTTATTGTGAATCAGCATTTTAAGAATATTTTTACTAGAAAATGTAGGTAATGGCTTCTTTAAAAGAATATTTATTTCTATCAATAATCTTCTTTAAACTCTTAATCTTATTACATTCCTAAAGCTATTACTCATTTAAATTCCTGAAACTAATTAGTTCCTTAAAAAAATAAAAGTCAATACTGAAAAAAAGTACTTCTTTTTTTTGTTGTTGGGATTATGCTACCTTTTGGCTTTTGTTTGTCCCCCTTCAAGCTCTTCAATGGGTTGAGACTTCTCTGTCCAGACTTGTCAAACTAGTTTGTACTACTTGTCATCTGTTTCCTTATTTCATGCCATATAGTTGTCCAGAGATGCCATATAGTTGATTAGAAAGTTTAGTTCAGTGGGTACAGACCCACAAAATCATTTTCTTCCTCCGGTAGAGAATGTATCGGTAAGTTCAGTTTTGTTTTGTAATGGCTTCTTTGATATATTGACTGTCAGTGGCTAGATTCTTGATGTGTCTGGGGACATCTGACGAGGTGTCCTTAACAGAGTTGATCTGCATAGGCTCTTGTTAGATGTCTGAGGTTATTAGAGCAAACTGAATTAATAAACCTCCATTTAAAATTAAGGTTTTATATAAAAGTCATCGTGTCATATCCAGTAGTGGGAATATTAGAAGTTAATGAAAGACTGTGTTATATTCTGGTGGATTCTAATGTTTTTTCTTTAGTGTTTTGGGTGGTCGTGGTGGTAGTCCTTTGTATAATACAAACTTTCTTTCGGCCATCCTATATTTAGTTTCTATAGCACTTTCTGCTTGTTTGTTATACCTTATAGTCATGGGCTAATGCAGTTTGGGGCATCAGTAACTGAAGAGGCACCTATGATCATTTTAGACAATCCAGGAGTTGTTGGAAGAGGAAACAGGAGATTAAAAGTTACAAAACATAAGTACTTGCTGAAAGACTCCCTAGTAAATTGTGGGGGAAATGATTTCAAAGTTGTGTTTTTCTTCTTAAAATGGGATTTATCAAAAACAGATGAACTGAAAATTGGGGCATTTATTTTTGTACTTAAAAATCGTGGTTTTATGTGAAGAATATTTCACTATTGTTTAGATTTGTGTTATTTTCACATATTATTTGATAGTCAAGACAACCTTGTGAGTTCAGTAAAACTGATATCATTAGCCCCCTTTTTGAAGTGAGGAATTGAGGGGAAGAGAAACTAAGGAATTTGTCTGGGTCTACAGAGTGGTCAGATGGCAGAATCCGAGCTGTGATCCACAACCAATGAGAGGCCAGCTTGCCAACGTAACTACTATAACCTCTCTAGGTAGCAAATATGACAACCAGGAATTTTGGTGGTGGACTGTGGTATTGAAACTGCCTCAATATTGGTGAACCTGGGCTTTCTTCTCCACTCATAAAAGAAATGTTTATGTCAGTTCTTTAGTGTGAACCTGAACTATTTCTTTTGACACCCTCAAAAAGAATTGTTGCAATGTTTCACACATTCTTGGCCCGCCCTAAAATTCAATGAACAAATTAATGAAAAATTTAAAAATATCTAGCATTAATCTTCTACTAGTTAAAACTCATTACACTTGAAAATGCACATGGCTAAGATTTTGAAAAGAACTGATAAAGGAAATCATGATATTGAAAAGCAATGATTCCAACCTTTCATATATCACATTCTCAAAATTATTCTTCTCAAAATGTCAAGTCTCATAATTATAGACACTAAACCTCTCTTTTTCAAATAAACATATCTATATATATGGAAGTGTTTAAGTTTAAGAAATGTAAAATACAGAAGTAATATTGGGGTCAATGCTATTGTTTTGGATATTCATCATATCGCTTAATGAAGAGAACACAGAAGATTCAGGGGAAAAATATAAACAATGATGGTTTCTTTTAGCTAAATTTATGGAACATTAATCCAGAATTTGAAGAGTTTGCTGGTAGTGTTAGGTCACCCTAACAGACATGATTAATGATTGAGGCAAAGGAAATGTTTATAAATTATTATGACACCCTATGCCTCACTTACATTAATTCCACAATATATTCCACAGTCATTTTTAACATTATTGTGTCTTTATTATTCTTCCATAGCTTTTTGTTTCTGCTTAACAAAACTTCAATACCTTCGTAGTTTCACCATTTTCTTCTCTACATTTCAGAAGTGTTTCTAGCATTCTGCAATTGCTGTGAAACTCCATTTGCAATTTCTTTTGGCATTCATACTCTTTCTTTTTTATAATTTTAGTTTATCTTATCTATTTAGCATTTGGGTGATTATTCTCCCTATAGCAGATTAAATGACTTCTTCATCTAAGATTATTTACTGAAGTTCACTGAAACTGTTAACCTGATCTGGACTATCCATTTTCCTGTGGTTCATCATTTTCAGCATTGCTTATTGAATGTAAAAACTAGACTTTTCTGTTAAATTATCGTGCTTAGAAGCAAAAGGTAGTCTTTCAAGTCTTTTCAAACTTTTGCATTTTACATTTTATTTTCATTTTGGACTTGTTCCAATCAACTTATTGATTTTCAAGGAATTCTCAAATATATTCTAAGTGTATCACTGTTAAAATCAAATTAGCAAAATGATGTCTACTAGATAGTGAGCATAAAGCTTTGTATAAGTTATCAGTTAAATATCACTTTTTGGTTAATTTTCAACAAACCCATCATGTGCCATATACCGCATTAGATTATTAAAATCTCATCATAAGGCTATAATATAGGTGACCCGGTAGTGTAGTGGGTTAAGTATTGTGCTGCTAACCCTATGTTCCACAGACTTCATGTGGGAGAAAGATGAGACTTTGTGCTCCTGTAGAGATTTTTTTCAAAATCATTTTATTGGGAGCTAACACATCTACCCTATCATTCCATAGTTCAATCGCATCAAGCAGCATCGTACAATTGTTACCACAGTTTCAAAATATTCTCTTCCTTCTTGAATGTCTTCTTTCTTTAAAGAAGTCATTTCATTGGGGGCTCTTCCAGCTCTTATAACAATGCATACATCAATTGTATCAAGCACGCATGTACATATGTAGAACCTCTTGATGAAACCTTCTCTTTACCTACTTTCCCCACTGTAACCCAGGAACCATTATTCTACTTGTTGTCCCTATAGGTGCATCAATTCTGAATTTCATATACCAAAACCCAGAAAACCGTAAAATGAAAATTCAAGGTGGCTACCCCAATGACAAAACACATCAGAGATAAACCCCAATATGAGAAGAAGAAAAAAACCCAGAAAATGTTAAAAACCAGATCAAGCTCAATGTGTATCAGAGAGGTGGATCAGGTGACAAGGTTTTAATAGTTCAAGTCAGATTTATCATTTTGATCTTCTAATCAGCTCTCCAATGCACACTGTTTGGGAGCCAGTTTATTCCCATCCCTCCATTATGGTTAGAGGGAAATCACCATAGGTTTGTTTCCTATGTAGCTCTCACAAATGTATTTTGGGCTTCCACTGTCATCCATAGTCTTCTGCAAACCAGAATCTCACAATTTAGGTTCTGATATTATTCCCTCCTTAGGCTTCAGATTGTATGCGTTACAATTTTTGGATCACTGATGTTGGTGTGCTTCTTCCATGTGGACCTAGTTGACATCTCACTTAGATGGCTGGGTTTTCTGGCAACAAGTCTTTAAGACCCCAGATAACATTCTATCTGATAGCTGGGTACCATCTAATATCTTCACCACACTATTCAACAGCACCCATATTTGTACCTTCCTGAGGGTATAAATCAGGGCTATGATGTAAGAACTAATTATTCTTATGTAGAAATGTATAGCTTCAGAAACCCAAAGGGTAAGTTCTACTCTGTACTATAGAATCATTGTAAGTTGTAATCGACTTGATGGCAGCGATGGGAAAATTGTAAGAATGCAGAAAGCATCAAAAGATGATGGAAGGAATATACAGAGGCACTGTAAAATTTTAGTAAAGTTCACTCCACAGCTCGTACAGCAGCCAGAAATTCAAACAGGATTCACAAAAGGACATAAAATAAGCTAATGGCAGGTGGAA